AAATGAGATACTATAAAGTAGGCTTTGTTATGCTCAAAACTGTTACACTGTCATGTAGTAAACATCGGCTATTTCCCTCTGCCCAGTATCAATTCTCTTCTTTTTCTTAAACAAACCCATTGCATGTAGTTTGGTTGGTGTTGATATACTAACCAGGTCTTGCTAACTGCAGACTAGACCTATTGGGCAAAGGTTCATTCAGGATTGAACAACAGACTGAAGCCACTCCAGTGAGAATCCTCCTAGGACTTTTGATATTGGAAAAGGGACAATCCCTTCTTCTGTGATCAAAGACACAAGGAACATGCAAATCCGGACTCCGAGGGATCATCTTTGCTGTCAACTGGAAAGAATCTGTCCAAGGAGGAAGACAAAGGAAAGATGGATCTGAGAATTCTGAAGACCTCATTTAGGCACCTGGATCCAGTCAACTGAAAATAGTATTCTATCAGAATTTCAACTTAAGTGAGCCAAGAAGTATCTCTTCCCCCACCCCAAACTGTTCAAAGTCAGATAATCACCACTTGTCACAATGTACTCGCTCATTTTTGTTGTCTTCTACCCAAATTCTAGAGTCCTGGTGGGGTGCCATAGGATAAGCACAATACATCTTTGGGTCCACAAGGTAGGCAGTTCAAACCCACAAGCCGCTTCTTAGAAAGCCTACACAGGGTCGCTATGAGTTGGAACCAACTAGACGGCACTTACCACCACCACCACCTAAGTCTATATAGTGTTTTTTCACAAGCACCTTTAAATGCAAAGGATCTGTGTACTTCTTTTTTAGGAGACTTGGTACTATTCTGCTGCCAGGCTTGGGACATACTAGTACTAGTCTACTATGACTCATGGCAGCCCCATGTGTGTCAGGCTAGATCTGTGCTCTATATCATTTTCAATGACTCCTTTGTCTGAAGTAGCTCACCAGGCGTTTCTGCAGAATTTCCTCTGGGTGGACCTAAACCTCCAACCTTTTGGTGAGCAGTCAGGCATATCAAATGTTTGTACTCCTCAGGGACTTGTTTGGAACCTCAAAACACAGAGTGGGTGGAAGCCTAAAGAACGAGACTGTCTAGGTCTTAGAAATCTCATAAGACCTGTGGAGTTCCCTTGTGAAACATCCACTTATTCAGAAACGCATATTCCAAGTTATATTAAAATTTGTTTTAAAAAATATATAGGATAGCATAACAATCACCCATGTGCCCGCTGGCCACTTTATGAAGGGAATAGAAGCATCTTACTTAGCCCTTCTGATGGTGTTCCTCACATGGACCTTCCTCTTCCTCCTCAGGAAGTCATATAAAGGATTTTCATACATCCTTCTCATGACTAAGTATTTTGTTACCTAAGTATGTATCCACTTAATACTTTTGTTTTTTTTTTAAGGCCTAAAATGTCAAGTGTTGTGTTGGTATCTCTGAGCTCCACAGAGCCTCAAAGGTTTTCCATGAACTTCGCTGCTTTATTGACATAGGTTCCTCACTCAGCTGGAAGGGTTCCCACCTGGCTAGGTCTGTGAAGTCCTTCAGGAAGCTTCCACCCTTTCTCTCTGTTCACAAACACTAGGAGTGGCAACTGCTTCCTGCTATGTTATCCAAGTGTTCCTTGTCTGCCTGTTTGACTATTTAACCAAATTTTGATATTAAATTCAATTAAATTAACAGTTGTGGGTTCTGTTTTCTTAAACACTGGATATATAACAGCATTCATTTTTCCATAGTGATGCGTATGGTAAGCAGACCAGGCCTACAACACTGAAATCTTAGTTAAATCTGATGATGGAATAACAAACAAATGTGGAAACATCCAACTGTGGTGTTAGTGTGAAGCCAGGTGTGTTGTCTGCTCTCTCCCTGGGCCTGTCAGTACAAGGGCAGCAGGCTCATGGATGGCATTTTTTGACTTGACACGTTCTTCACTCTGTGAGGGCTGCTTAGACCATGAACTTTGGGTGAATCACTGTGAGAACTCAGGCATATGGCCACTTAGTCTAATCCTCAATAACAAACTGAACCAAGAAACAAAACCATTCGCTGACTGAACATTATTTTCAGCAATGCTTGAACCTCGACCTGCTTTTCTGGTTTGGCCCAGATCATTAAACATGTACATTTACCACATTTCAGGCTGTATTATTATTATTTGCCATTACAAATAATGTTTTCCTGAACACCCTATACATGTCTCTAGGGTATATATTAAGAAATCAGACAATTATTTGGATGTTTATCTCTTGTGAAGTTAGAGAAGGTGAAACACCCTCTAACTCAGAACAGAAAGGTAAAAGGACACCGAATGGAGAACGGCTGTAATTATCTACCTATATTTGATATAAAGTATGGTGCTGGTGGTGAGTACATGCCATGAAGTTGGATTCAGTGTATAGCTACCCTGTAGAGAGTTTGTTGTTGTTGTGAAGTGCTATTGAATTGGTTCCGGCCCATAATGACCCTGTATGAGGTTTCTGAGGAACAACCGACCTTGCAGTTCAAACACTTTTGTAGTCTGGCACATTAACCCAGAGCGCCACACCAGAACTCTTTATACAATTTAGCATTCTCTAAAATTCTACAGAAGAACCTGAGAATTGTCATGCGGCCCTTGTCCTTCAGGATGATTCATATACAAACAAGGAAGCAATTTAGAACACTTTTGGTAGCTCCTGAAATCTGTCATGTATAAGAGAGATTGAAATTACAGTTTAAAATTATATAAAATAGAAAGCACATAGTACGTTTGCATAAGAAAGGATGTTGTAAAAATTAGCGATCTTTTGGTCATGGAAGAGACTGAAATGCCAAGTAGTGAACTACTCAGCCATTCAACATTCATTCATTGAGTATGGAGTTCCCACCACATGTCAGACCTGTTCTGAGATGAGGGCTTTAGCAGTGAATAGGATTCTTCCCCTGTCTGCCCTGGCACACACCCATGAATGCAACCAAGAAGCTGACTGGACACAGAGATTCCACCAAGATACCTTTTAGTATAAGTATTAAGGAAGCAAGACCTAAAGAATTAAATACCATGATAATATTAAAATTAAAGATCCAGAAAGCAGCAAGCAGTGAAGGACATTCAACAACACAATAAAAATGTTCTGTGAAAGTTTAGGAGTATTATTTAGGATTTGAGTGGGTTGGACTCAATGAAAAGCTGAAGCCTCAGGGAGAAATGTTAGAGTGGTGGATGGAATGTTCAGGGGACAAGAAATGATTTGGTATCCATGGAATAATGAGTTAACCTAGGTAAGATGTAGAAATGAATCCAGAGCAACATGTGTAGTTCAGGTTGTAGAAAAACTTGAACAATGTAAGCATTTGAGACAATCATGCATTACCTTCATGAGTTTTGCATAATTGACCTGTTGTTGTTGTTGTTGTTGTTGTTAAGTGCCGTCGAGTCGGTTTCGACCCATAGCGACCCTGAATAGGGTTTCCGAGGCTGTAAATCTTTACGGGAGCAGATCGCCTCATCTTTCTCCCGCGGAGCAGCTGGTAGTTTCGAACTGCTGACCTTCCGGTTCGCAGCCCGATTCGTAACCACTACGCTACCAGAGTACCGACTCATAGTGACACCATGCACAGCAGAACGAAACACTGCCCGATCTTGGGCCAACCTCATAATTGTTGCCATGCTTGAGCCCATTGATGCTTCCACTTTGCCAATCCATCTCGCTGGTGGTCTTCCTCTTTTTCTCTGACCCTCCACCTTACTAAACATGATATCGTTCTCCAGCGACTAGTCCCTCCTGACAATATATATGAGAGACAAAGTTTGGCCATTCTGGCCTCAAAGCAGCACTCTGGCTGCACTTTTTCCAACACAGAGCAGTTGGTTTTTTTTGCCAAACCCATGGTACTTTCTCCTCCAACACCATAACTCAAAAACATCAATTCTTCTATGGTCTTCTTTATTCATTGTCCAGCTTTCACATGCATATGAGGTTATTGAAAATACCATGGCTTGGGTCAGACGCAACTTAGGCTTCAAGCTTACATAACACTTTAAAAAGGTCTTGTGCAGCAGATTTGCCTAATGCAATATGTTGTTTGATTTCTTGACTTCTACTTCCGTGTTGATGGTTGATCCAAGAAGAATGAAGTCTTTGACAAAAATGTTGTCTATTGGTCCAGTGGTGAGGATTTTTGTTTTCTTTACAATGAGACGCAATCATAGCATACTTTTAAGATCGATTAGCATCTTCTATATTTCCTCATTCTAAATGCTACTAAAAATGAATTTGATGAGACGGTTATAAATGTTTCTAATAAATATAACAGCTAATTGTAGTTAAGTACGCTTAAGTTGGTTCTGACTTATAACAATCCTGTATAGGATTTCCAAGGAGCAGCTGATGGGTTTGAACCACTAAGCTTTAGGTTACCAATACAATGTTTATCCTACAAAGCGACACCAGGACTCTGACAGCTAATCTCTAGCTATTAAAATAAAGTGTTTGTATGTTTATCTTGCAAAATATATAGCATGTTTACTGCTTGTGAGACATGGAATATTTCTATTTTATGAGCTCTGTTATAGCGGGGGCTTGCTTTCCAATGTGTTCTATGTCTATAACAGCTACATGCATAATATTCCCTAGATCATAAATTCTTAATACACTATTGCTCATGAACAGTCTAATATTCACCTGATTAATAGAAATATGGACTGATCAGGAAAATGACCTTTTATCAAAAGAAGAGTTGTTCAACTGTCGATGTGTTTTGGACTGGAGTGGACTCATCTGGCTGACTCATGAATTCCACTCTGAGAGTTGAGGCGACCTCTGAGCAATGTCAACAACAACACTGTCCACTTGAGTCAACTCATTTATGTACTCTGCCTGTCAGTTTTCTTGCATAACATCTGTTCTGAATGCTGCATTGTGTAATGTCTTCATGAGAAAATATAAAGAGCTGGCAGCTGGGGGTGCTTTAATATAAAAATTTCCCAGTGATGCAATAATACGAGTTGGAGTTTGTTTGTTTTTTAAAGATCACTAAGTTTTAGCTATGACCAGATTACATTTTCCAAAATATGTGGTATTTTCTGTCCTCATTGTCCTGAGTGCTGATGCACTAGACACTTTTATTGCTGCGGTGTATGAGCATGCTGTTATATTACCAGTGAGAACGGAAACTCCTGTATCAAAAGAAGATGCTTTGCTCCTAATGAACAAGAACATTGATGTTTTGGAGAAAGCAGTAAAGCTACCAGCTAAGCTGGTAATGCCCTCTCCATACTGGCTGGGATATAGTAAGATCAGAACTTGGAATGTATTTGGAATTTATGAGAAACTTGTTTGCACCTATTTGTTTTGAGCAGGGTGCCCATATCATTGTGACTCCAGAAGATAGAATTTATGGCTGGGTTTTCACCAGGAAGACTATTTACCCTTACCTGGAGGATATCCCAAACCCTGAAGTGAACTGGATTCCATGTAGGGAGCCCCAAAGGTAATGCTATTGTCTTTTTTAAAAAAAGTTTCTATTGTGAACTGAGTGATAGTTTACATGGGGGAACATCAGTTCGTTTCATTGCAATGGTTACAATCCCCTGCATGCTTCATCATTCAACAGTATTTGCTTCTAGTCCCTCTGTTTTTTGTTTTTGTTTTGGATGTGCACCAAAACACTCAGGAATCATTCAAAGAGCCAAAAGGGCACACCCTGCCCCTGCCCCTCAGTCGCCAGCACACATCCCCTCTCCCTCCACACATCTAGAATCCTCAGCTCCTTCATTTCTTCATGTTGCTATTGCCTTTTGATGTTGGAAAAAAATGAAAGTTACACTATTGCAAAAATACCAATAGCAAATGCACAAACCCTGACAAGTAATCTGTTTGATAAGTAATTAATCTAGTTTGTGTCATTGGACTTAGAACTTTCTAATGCATGTCTCCTGTTTGCTAATGTCTTGAGATGGTGATGCTTGATTGCTGATTTGTAGCTTATTTGTAAAGCTATTTATAAGTTTCTCACTTTGTTGAAATCCAATTAAACCAATTGATTATAAAAATGGTGTATTTGGAGACTGTTCTTTAAGAAATAAGTAGCAAGGTGTTCCATCCATGAACAATTGCTTCCTTTGTATAAATGATGAGGTTATCTGGCACTGGAAGGTAAGTACTGGATGACAAGGTTGGTTCGCACTGCAAGGTGGGCAGCTCAAACCCACCAGCCGCACCTCAGAAACCCTATGCAGGGTTGTTATGAGTCAGAACTGACTCGATGGCACTTAACAACAAAAATAATTGCTTCCAAATGGCTCTGATAGCACTGCTATTTACAATATAATCAGTATGTTGTTGCTAAGTGTCATCGAGTCAGTTCAAACTCATAGCAAACCAGGAGAAGTTGGTGGGTTTGAACATTAATATTGAAGCACTGAGGTTAACAGTCCAGTGCTTATCCTACAGCATCACACCAGGACTAAAATCAATATGTTGTTGTTGATAAACGTGCCATCGAGTCTCATAGTGTTTCCAAGGAGTGGCTGGAAATTGTATAGTGGTGGTGGTGGTTGTGTGCCATGGAGTCAGTTCTGACTCATAGCGACCATCTATAGGATTTCTGAGGCTGTGAATCTTCATGGGAGTAGAAAGCCTTATCTTTCTCCTGAGGAGTGACTGGTAGATTCGCACTGCTGACCTTGTGATTAGCAGTTAAGCTTATAATCCATTAAAATCAGGGCTCCTTGGAAATTATAGAGGACTTGACAAAGGAAGAGTTGAGACCTCCTAGCTGAATGATGTGGGACATGCAGCCTAAGAGACACCCCTGTTTCTTTATCTGTAGACAGTTCTCTGACTTCTTTATGGGGTAATGAAGATTGTCAAATGAAGTTAGCATTCATGGAAGTGGGTGCTGTAGGGCTCTCATGGAAGTGGGTGCTGTAGGGCTCTCATGGAAGTGGGTGCTGTAGGGCTCTCATGGAAGTGGGTGCTGTAGGGCTCTCTGTAGTGTTGTGTTTGCTGTCATTATTAACTAGGTCTGACTTATTTTTTTATTATTTATTTTTTTGGCAACTGGAAGTTTTTAGCGATTATTAATAGCAATAGTTTCAGCATATCTTTTAAAAAGAAACCTAATAATAAATAAAAAAGATTTATGAAATAAGTAATTTTAAGTATAGTTTTTTGTTTTTGTTTTACTTCAAAAATAGTTCATATTACTACAAGAACAAGCAAGTTGCTCACCCAGGAGACATCAAGGTCCCATTAGGGAAAACCCCCTTCCAAGACTAAGACTCATTGGGAATACATGAGCAGACATATGCTCTGTTGACCACGTTGGTCACTGATAAGGGGAAGTGAGGGAAAAACAGCAATGAAGCTGCAAGCTAAGCCCTACCACGTTTAATAGACTCCTGTGAACCCGGGTGGAGACCTGGTTGGCCAGCAGTGTGGCAAGACCTGGGGACTCCTGGGCCTAGAGTCAGTGACATAGCCACAGAGGACTAGAGTGGAGAGTGAAGCATCCAGCTGATAAGAAGTGAGGGCATATACACAAGACACCCACACTTGTGGATAATACCCACTTGACCTGGCTTCGATGACTGGATGATCAGAGCTCAACTAGAAGAAGAAAGAAGAGGAAAAAAAAGAGTAATCTGATACAGTTTAATGAACTTGACTTACACCTATGGATGCAATAGCTCCAAAGAAGGAACAAATCTTTACAGCAAGGATCATTTCCACCCCCTCCACACATGGAGAGGACTGGGATGGGCAACTGGGACATTGGCTACCCAAAATGGGGGTTGGGGGGCTACAAAGGCAAGAAGTGACTGGCTCACAAGCTTTCAAGAGGGAGCCTAGATCCAGAGGGTGCAGAGGAAGGTAGAATCTCCACTGAGTAGTATCCAATCTGTTTGGGTGGGGCTGATGAACGGAGATGGGATGGCACTCATGTGGCACAATAGGGAATAATTGTTATCAGGACTGACTGTGAGGGTTGGAAATGTAAAGGTAGACATTTTGTAGCAAAACAATTTGCAGTCTAGGAGCAGAGGTCCCTGAGACCATCAAGGGAGAAGAGTGGAGAGCAGGACCCTACCCAGAGAAGCAGTGATGCCAGAGATAAAGGCAGAGAAGATGATGTGAAGAGATGGGACAGCTGGGGACTTTAGAACCAGAGAGGGAGACGAGCTGTGTGCTGATGACCAGGGGGCAGGCTTGCAGGATATACCCTTTGGTTGGTTGATCATGCTTGGAGGGAATTGTGATCATGGCAATGAAATGATATACGATAGGATGACTGTAAAACTAATGTTCTCCCATGTAAACTATCACATAATTCACAATAAAACATAAAAAATAGTTCATATGCAATATTTAAAAGCAAAATGAGGTCATTAAAAGTAATTCCAGGAAAGAAGAGGAAAAAAAGAGTAATCTGATGCAATTTGATGAACTTGACCTACACCTATGGCTGCAGTAGCTCAAAAGAGGGCACAATGAAAAGAGGGAACAAATTCCTACAGCAAGAATCATTCCCACCCCCTCCACACACAGAGTAGACAGGGATGGGCAACTTGGACATTGGCTACCCAAAATGGGGGGG